GGGGCGGTTGTATTATAAGAGGTGTGTATTGATGAGCACCTGATACACAGCATTATTCAACAACATGAAATCAGATCGAGACGGGTACACATTGGTATTTGAGCACATGCACACACGTAAGCGTACACAAAATGAATAATCTGCCTGCTCTCAAAATATTATAGTGACAGGAACACAGTAAATACTGTAATTGTAAACGTCTCCATGGCAACACAAAAGACATTGCAAAACTATAAATTATGAATCAAGATGAAATGCAAGTGGTGGGCAGCTTCTTTAAAGTGGGGCAAAAAATTGGATTTATGTAAAACCTGAATTCAGTTAGTGCCAAGGTGACCCAGCTGTTTCCGTGGTAATGAAGAGAATGCGAAAAATCACGATAACGAAGGAAACTGCCGATTGGATGAATTCTTGATGTTTCTTGCCACTTTGGCGATTTATGATGTGGGCGATATAGCTGCTGCTGCTGCTGCTGCTGCAGCTGCTGCTGCCATTTCCGATGATGATGACCATCACTCAAAGTACATGGAAAGGATTGCCAGCACTGTAACACATCCCCCAGTATTTTACTCAAAGGACTGAAAAGATTGCTATCACTGTAGCAGATCGTTTCTTCGACTCTTCCTCGTTTGGTTTGTAATGACGAGCACACAGTCGGTTAATAAATTGAATTACTCGCACCAAAGATATATCGTTGTCAATGAGATAAGATCGGATGCGCGAAGGAAACAATGCTATATTATTATTGATTTATTCAAAGCAATTTTGATTTATTGTTCTACTTTTTGTTGTTTATGGTTTTCCAGAGTTTGTCATATTGAGAAACTGTGATATCTTTTTAAAAAGCATTGCAGATGTCTTTCTTTCTTTAGATTAAACGGTCTTTTGATTGAAAAATGATATAAAGTGTCCTATTTTCAAGTCGCGATAAGATCAGATAAGCTCTATGATTGGCAGTTACCTGTGTTTACTACGACTTTGATAATACCAGATGCGTCACTTCATATAGCAACATTAATGAAGACGTCGCCATATGACAATTATACCATTTTGTTTTGTTTCTCACAAGCATGTTCTTGTAATACAATAATCTGTGCCATCAGGAGTCTCCGCCCTTAGTAAGGCCACATTTGGATCGCCGTGCCTCTTGTATGAGGTGTGATCCATCTCTTGGTTTACAATCTTTGCTCATATTCAACGAATCAGACTGAAAAGTATAAGAATTCACGTCTGTGTGCTCACTATTACCTTCCCAGTAGGACAGGTCGACCGTTTCTGCTATAAATTTCGTTCTTTAGCTGTCAGAATGTTGTTCGTAAAAAATGTAAGTGCTGAGATTTCCTTGTCATTTTCAGAATTGAGTATTAATCTCCATTTGCTTGTAAAAGTATATAAAAAGACAACATTCAATATAACAAAGTTAGTAAGAAATTTACTGGCGCCCAAGACATCCATGTAAATATCTCCCTCTACTCTAGGGTCCATTATTATGTAAGGGCTGGACAATCATGGTATGTTGTCAGAAGATTTGTACGAAAGCACTGAGTATCATGGTTGTATAAGGATACATGCTTAAAGTATGCAACGCATGACGTTTATATAAGAACCTCTCCAGAATACAAACATTCAATAATAATTAATATTCTTTAAGGATTAAGACATTTACAGAGAAATAAAGTTAAGCTTTTCCTGCAACCTTTAGAGAAATCGTTATTTTTTCAGTCCCTTAGGTTGGGGATACATAGGCCTAGATATCTACAGGAAAAGCTTTTGCGTATACATAAACCCTAGGTCGTCTTTGTTGAGCATTACTGGAGGACAAGAAAGAAGATAAAAACAAACATAGAAGTACTGCACTCCTCTCCACTACTGATACTCCTGCCAACAACGAGCCCTGTGCGACCTATCAGTTTTATATCTTGGAATATCCGCCTGATTTAGCGCCAAGTTTCCCTCGACTAAATAAGCCTGGCGGGAGGCGACAAATAAACACTAAGTACATGACCCAACCGCCAAAGACAAATGCAAAGGAGAGGATGACGAGAAGGCCAAACTGCGGGGCTAAGGGTAGTCCAACAACCAGCCCAAACTTGATCATGTCCATTGTCTGGTTGAGGGAGTTCTGCACACCGTTGACCACTCCTCGCTCTTGCTCAGTAACTGTTTCCATGAACATCTGGGTGATGGCCAGATCCGCCATCCACAGGCCTGGAGTCAGAAATGAAAGAATGAGATAATGTTGTTATAATAAGATAATACATAGAATCACGCAATAATGATGTGATTGTGGGATAATGAGATGATTTAATAATGAGATGATGAGATAATGAGATAATGTGATAACGAGGTAATGAGATAATGGAATAATAATACAATGATAGGATGAGGTAATGAGATAATGGGTTAATGAAATAATGAGATAATGAGATAACCGAATAAAGAGGTAATTAGACAACGAGATACATATATTTTTTATATTGGTGCGTGAATTGTTGACGTTTCGGTTAGTTTGTCGGATGTAGCGATGACCACGTTGAGAACGACAGCGAAGAAAGCATTGTTACTAGTGATTGAAGAATCATGATACTACCCCTGCTACTCCTCCTCCTCCTCCAACAACAACAACAACAACAACAATATAATCAACAATAACAACAACAACAACAACAACAACAACAGCAACAACAACAACAACAACAACAACAACAACAACAATAACAGCAACAACCACTACTACTACCACTACCATTACTACAACAACAACAACAACAATAACA